TGGAGAAGGAGGGCTTTGTGTTCCCCTCCCCTACAGGAATGTGCTTTTCGGTCTGAGCTGTACATGCTCTGTAACTCACGCCTCACGATGATGTAAACAAATGAGGAAGGATGAAATAAAAAATTTGCTTTTCCAGAAATCTTCCCTATATCATTCCCTCCTGTTCTTTTCCTTCCTCCACCCCCAGCGTTAAGGCTGAGGCCCCCCATTTCTCATAAATGCCTTTCAACGTCAGATACTCTTCCCTCTTCCCCAGCTTTCTTAGTGAAAGAAGTTTCCCCGGCTGAGGTTCGTATCGGTAGGGTTAGCGTTTTCCTTCATCTAGGCTGACATGTAGCAAAACACTTTCCCAGCGCGCCCGCTGCCTGGGGAGCCTGCTTGGCCGCCTGCTTTCTAAATGAAGGCTGTGTATCACGCTATATTGTATTTTACCAAAGGTTTTCTCTGTCCTAGAAAACTGTCTTTTATGAAATACGCTGCTGGTTTAAGGAGAGAATAATATATTTACTATAACTGTACTCAGGCAAGGAATAATTTTGCTGTAGAGATTAAATTTTTATATCATCGTGAAAAAACCCAACTCTCTGTCAGTCTCCAGGGGATCCGGTGTCTGGCTGGTGCGGAGGGGCTCCGATCTTGGCAGCTCTACGTGGCGTCGTTTTTTTCCCTTCGATTCCTGCAATAAAAGAACAATACACTCCTTTTGTCCCAAAGTTCAGATGTTTTAGGAGATTCTGAATAAAAAAATCCTGTTTTCATTTCGAAGGTACTTGTTGGGTGAATGTGGCTCAAGGATGAGGGAAGCTCACAACTGTTCAGAGCTCTGATCTACATCTAATCGTGATGCAGCCCATTACCATCTCATGAGCTTGCAAAATTCACTAGGGAGTGAATTCACTCCGAAGAGCGAGCTTTTTTTGTGGGGTATTAGTGCAGTTTATTGCCATAGATAGGCTGGAGCAGGCATCAGGAGAGACCTTTTGGCAGTGGTTCAGCGCTTCTTCTTTGGTGCCTGCCCAGAACGATAAGGGAGTTGGTCTGTGACTTGGGAACAGTTCTGACTCTACTTTTTAGCCCAGTTCTTCAAGGGAATAAGCTGATGGGATCGTGCTCTTGCTTGTTCTGTCTCTGTGTGTCACTTCGGGCCCTTCCAGGCCAATTTCAAGCAGGCTTAGCGAAGGGCTGGGGGTTTTCAAAGTGTGAAGATGCTGCGAGCACATGGCAGTAAGAGGCCGCAGCAGAAGGCTGTGCTGGAAACCAGTCCTGGAGGGTTGTGTGTGGGGAACAACTGGCTTCAGAGGCAATGTCCCCTTTCTGCTCCTGCGTCACCAGAGGCGTTTAATCATCTGCCCCGAGAAGCTGTGGCTGCCCCATCCCTGGAGGTGTTCAAGGCCAGGTTGGACGGGGCTTGGAGCAACCTGGGCTGGGGGGAGGTGGCCCTGCCCAGTGCAGGGGGGTGGAGGATGATCGTCAAGTTCCCTTCCAACCCCAACCATTCTGTGATTCTATGATTCATTTGCGGCGTTACACCGGTTGAACGTTATATGGGAGATTGCTTGTCTTTTGAGCCCCAAAGAGCATTTCCATGCAGGCTGTGAAGGATGAGCAGAAAATGGAAGAAGAAACCTGCAGCCTGTAGCTCTTGGCTCCTAATGTGGGCCAGGGCCCTGCCATAGGGACGGGGGTGTAAGCAGGGGCTGAAACAGGCGGTTTGGAGAGCAGGGGAGATGAGTGGGAGGAAGGGCAGCAAAGAGAGGAGGAGACACGATCGCACGTGGAAGTCCTCTCCAGAAGGTGGGCTGCTGGGCTCGCTCGCCCTGCGGTCTGGGAAGCGTGCGGGTGTCTCTGCGCACCCAGACGTGGGTTAACACAAAGCCCAGGGAGCTCCCTGCTGAGAAGGAGCTTTCCCTGGGTGCCTCCCTGCGTGAAGGAACCACACGGATAATTTCCGAAGTTCTAGTAAACCCTTGCAGAAATATGTCTTTTGTGCAGCCTTAAAACGGGGCTAGTACCAGCGACTGAATGAATGGATTCCCTGGTTCTGCTGTAACCGTCTGTGTTTAGTCCCCTCTCCTGAAGCATCTTTTCAGCCAGTTGGAAGCAAGTTGCCTCTTCTTCTGTTTGGACGTGAATTATCATTCTTGCCAAACGTTACTTGAATCTTGCTTCGAAGTGCTGTACACCAAAGTGACGTCCCAGCTGCACGGCTGAACCCTTCTGACAGCCCGAACTGGAGGATGAAATGTGTAACCAGCACAGAGACAGACACGGAGATCCATCCTGTCACATCGCACCTGGGAATATTCGTCTTCATTGCTATCCCTGTGGCCGTGTTTGCTATCCTGCGTGTGCTGGAAGAGAGGGTGATGGTCTCACGGTAGTGCCCTGCCCGACACATAGGAATCGCTCGCCTTAATTAATTCCTTTGGTTAAACAACATAGATTTATCTGTACTTAATGGAACAGATTTTGTAGTAGTAGAAGGACTGAGTAGTGCATGTGCAGAAATAAGGGGAAAGTTTCCACTTGTGTTCAGCCCTTCTTACAGATGCGTAGATTCAAAGCGCCAACAGCAAACGTGTTGAGGAAGTGAGAAATCTGTTAAAATGAATGAAGAAAGGCAAAACCAACTTTAAAAGCAAACTGGTGGAACCTGAGGATACCTATAGTAGAAGTACGAGCGTACTGGATGCCGTGGAAGGACTTCATAGCTCCGTGTTACAGTCTTTCTGGCCAAGAACTAGAATTGATAGGCAATAGAATAATTTCTTACAGGTTTTGCCAGAAACCTTTCATGGGTAAGGTGAAGAAGAAGGAATTAAAATTACAAACTGAATTTCTGTTACAATATGTGTGTGTGTATAGTGGTAAAACCCTCTGCTGATGAACTGAGGATGCCCTTTTGTCTTTGTGGTGTAACAAGCAGCAGGCCATGATCTAGGGTACCCGAAGGGAATTTATGCATCTACAGGTGAATTGTTCCCAAGTAGAAAAGATCTGATTTTGAAAAGGAGATAGACATTTTGAGAAGAATTGTCTCTTTGTGAGAGTATTTTTTTTAAAATACTGGGGGACTGGAGCATCTTTCTGATGAGGAAAGGCTGAGGGACTTGGGGCTTCTCAGTCTGGAGAAGAGAAGACTGAGGGGGGATCTTATCAGTGCTTATACTTAAAAGGAGGGTGCCAGGGGGATGGGAACAGTCTGTTTCCAGTGGTGCCCAGTGACAGGACAAGAGGGAACGGGCACAAACGTGACCATGGGCAGTTCCATCTCCACCTGAGGAGGGCCTTCTCTGCTGTGAGGGCGGCAGAGCAGTGGCACAGGCTGCCCAGAGAGGTGGGGGAGGCTCCCCCTCTGGAGCCATCCCAAACCCGCCTGGACGCCGTCCTGTGCCACTGCTGGAGGTGCCCCTGCTCTGGTGGGGGGTGGGATGGGGGAGCTCCAGAGGGCCCTGCCAGCCCTCACCAGTCTGCGATTCTGGGATTTTATTTCTGTTGGACTTTGTGTCTGAGATGAAATGGGTATGTCTTCTCTTTGTAAGCAAGCTGAACCTCTCCCCTTCATCCGTTTGGAGTTAGGAGGTTTGCAGAGCGATGTGCTGGCCTTCTGCAGGACACAGAGTTTCACCTTTCCCAGCTTTCTTGCCTTACTCCTCTGGCTGATGCTGAGCCTAGAGATGGAAAAAGGCAGCATGGATATCTCATCCATCCCCACGTCACAGCCAAGTGTTCCTTGCTGTTGATTTGTTACTATTGTCCTCGGATAAAATCTAATCAAGCCCAGTGCGGTCAGAGGGACTCCATTGACTCCCAGAAGCTCCCTACCAGGGAGCGCTGTTTAGAGGTTCCTTGTCAGAAGGCATAATAATAATAATAATAATTTCTATTTAAGTGCCTCAAAGTGTGATTTACATTCTCAGGTGATTTTCATACTGCCTCACAACACTGCTTTTTGAGGAAAAATCCGTTAAAATCTATGTCTTGTAGATAGGGAGGCAGTGTTTTGTCCAGAGCAATGGAAATCCGCGGTAGGTTTGGGAGCTGGACTGCACGCTTGGATCATGAAGCCCTGTGTGTGACCTCAACGTTATTGTCACTTCAGAAGCATCAGTGGTGGTGACAGTCTGTTCTGCTCTCAGAGTCAGGGCTCTGCCATTAAAACCAGGGGGAATATACCCTGGTGTCTTTATTTAAAAAACAAACAAACAAACAAAAAACCTCACAAAAAAAAAAAAACAGTCCAAAACCCAAAACAAAACAATTTATTACTTTTTTTTTTTTGGTTCCTGACAAAAAGAAGAGTGTGAGTCTGTGCTAATGAAAAATTTTAAAATTCTGGGTGTCCTGTATAATAAATAATAACATGAGCATGAACTCAGCTTCCCACAATCGCCACCAGATCATCAATCTAGCTCTTTTTGTGCAGCTTGTTTTGAACTTTGCCTGTTTCCTTCAGCTATGCAGATATAAATAAATAATTCCCCTTGATAAAGGTCTGGGAATGCTATACTTTAAAAGATAAGAAAGCTTTGAGGGGAAATTGTTTTTAAATCCATAACATTTGTATGCTGTTCGCTGTTCATACTGAGCAAAAATTAATTCAGTTGGCAGTTAACCAACCCTATTTTATTCTTATTCTGTGTTCAACCTATCCTTCTCCTGGGGACATCTAACCTTATATGTAATTACCTCTCGGAGAGCGGGAAGGAGGCCTAAATAACCTTCCGAACAACTAAATAAAATGCACAGATCCCTGGGACAGGTTATCAGTTGGATGCTGGTGGCAGAGCTATCAGGAACACTGTCTGAGCCATGAAGAATTTCAAGACTTGAGTCATTTTTGTTCCAGCATTGGGTCAAACAACTGGAACTTGAAATGTTTTCAGAAACCAAACCAAAACACCCTGGAGTTTCCGATTATGTTTGTTTCGTTGCTAGCTTGGAAATAACAGTGATGAATTTTAACAGTGATGGTGGCTTTTTTTTTTTTTTCTCTTGAGGTCTGTCCAAGTCACTTGGTCTCATTGAAGGCTATGGTGGACGTGGTAAAGGTGGGCTTCCAGCCACCCTGTCCCCTGAGGAGGAGGAGAAGGCAAAGGGACCACATGAGAAATACGGCTACAACTCCTACCTCAGTGAGAAAATTTCACTGGATCGTTCCATACCAGATTATCGTCCAACCAAGTAAGTACTGGTTGCTCTATGAAGGAGTGCATGTGTTTAAGTATTGTCCAAGAACCAGGAGTGATGGTTGCTTTCATAGTCTCCTATGATGCTGTTCGTTCTTCCCCCCTTATCATTCCCGGGGCCGTGCTCAGTAATGAGCAGCCAGTTTAGTTTGCCTGAAACTAAGGTAGTTCATAAAGATGCTTTGTCAGAAAAAGAAAGCAAGGGTTTTTTCTCCACTCTTCTCTTTCTTCCTCTTTTTATTTTCCCGGAGTGATACGTTATTTTGGGTGGTAGCAATGTGATCAGAAGCTCGCATCTGCTTTTGTCAGCAAAGGGCTGTTCACGGAGCTATTGGCCTTTGGTGTTTATTACCCTGGAAATGTGGGCAAAGACTGTCCCTTTCTCCGCCCTCGTCGGCTCCTTCATGTCCCTGCGAGACCTCCCGGGCTCTCCGGCTGCCTTCCCAGTCCTCCCAGGACACAGCTGTGGGATCTCCTGTTGGAGACCTGTGCAGATGCCTTTGAAGGGGCCCAGTGGCTCAGGTGGCAATATCCTTTCTCTGCTGCTTTTCCAGCGTGACCTTTTAAGATGATGGTGACGGTGATGTTTACCTGCTAAGCACCACAGAAGAATAGACTTTAAATGAGATGCCAAATCGTTTTGTTAAGAGTGTGAGAAAAGGCATGCTGTAAGTTTATCTTTAGGAAAGTTAATTTTAGATACGGCTAGCAGAGTGTTCCTCAAAATAGGAAAGTGTCAGTTTGTCCAGACCTGGAGTGAAATCCCTGATAAAAAAATGAGCTGAGAGAGATTTAGATTGTGAAAGATACATGTCCAATGCCTGTGTCAGTAGGACAGTGACAAAGCCATTGCCTGGTGTCTACAAACCAGTGAAAATCATGCAGCAAGGGGATGCAGCTACATGTCTCCAGCGTCCCGGCAAATTGTTAAGGATGTGAGAGCATAGCGAGCTTTTGTTCCTTCACTTCTCTGCGTGCTGCATGAATTTCAAGCAGCCACTCAGAGTTTCCGAGGCTGTCAACCACTGACAACAGAAATATTTGGCTGAGTTTTCAAAGGAACGGAGGCCCAGCCTCCAGTTCTGCCGGTACCGTTCGTCTGGACAAAATGAATTGCAGGTACAAATTGCACCTTTGGCTTTATGATATGCAAATCCCACTACAATGACAAATCCTTGAAGTGAGACCTTCTCTAGCAGTTACCTGAGTCTGAGCTTCTTATTTTCATTTCTCATCCAGAACTCTGACTTCTGGCAGAGCCAACATTACTTTGTGAGAATTAATTTAAGAAGTAATGTTTTTTCAGATCTTGGGGGGCGGGAGAGGAGGATTAATTCTGACATTTTTAGGTTTCCATTGTATTCTTCCTCAGTGCCACTATCCGTCATTTCATGGGAGAGTGGTGGAGAGGACAGAGCAGACACAGCAATTTGTTAAATATGCATCATTTTGGAGCTGGGCTAATACTTCGGAGAGAATTTGTGGGTACTGACTGCAGCTGTATACCTTAGTGTCTTGTATCTGTGTAATAACTTCAGGAGTGTGTTTTGGTTATTGCTTTTTTTTTGGCGGGGGGGGGGGGGGGTATCAATTGTCTTGGTATTGTAAAAGAGCAGTTGTTCTGGCTATGAACTAGGCTTGAATTTGCTGAAGGATTTGAAAAGTTTCAGCTTTTTCTACTTCTGACTTCAAGATCCATTCGCTATTTTGTGCAAGCAATTTTATGGCTGATTTTATGAAGGGTTTAATACAAACCATTTAAGTCAAGTATCCTGGTCTCTGATTAAAATAGATTCAAGTCAAAGGAAATGAGCCTAAATGGTTTTGAAATTGCGGCATTAGTGGGGAAAAACTGTTGAAAACCCTCCAGCTGATAAGCATTACAAAGCATGTATTAGTTTTAAATATAATAGTGAAGCCTGTTTGGTTCAGCTAAAGGCTGTTCAGTGTCCGGAATGCTGATGGACTCGGGCTGTTCCCAGCAGTGGCTGTCTCTCATGCGTTCTTTCCTTTTAATTTTCTCTTTTTTTAAAGAAAAAGATTAATGTGATCGAGTGTCACTTCCTGAGCGCTGAGCTATGCTGGATCGGACCTCTTAGTCCTTTTCCTGCCCTCTCTTTGTGACTGTGGCCAAAGCGAAGGGGAGCAAGGGGAGGTTAGGGGAAATTTGGCATGTTTTGTAACCTTTCTGCGTTTAGACTCCCTGCGCCTGGTGGTCAGCATTGCTGAGGGCTCAGGTGTCCCTGCTCAGAGTGATTTGCAGGCAGGTGTTGGCAACGAGGAGGCATCCTGAGTCCCAGCTGATGGCCTTTCCAGTCCCTGCCCAGAGGCAGCAGGAAGGATAGAGGCAAGTTTCCCTGGAGAAAATGGTCCGAGAGGTGTTGGGTAGAGGATGGCGTGCAGCACAAGGTAAGGTCTTTCCCAGGGCCAGGAGCAGCAGAGTACCTTGCTTGTCATGGTTTGGGGAATCGCGGGGTTTCTTTTTGGTAGTTTGGATTGTTGTCTTTGTTTTAGTTAGAAACTGCAGTTTGTTTGAGAGATTTGCTTTTCTTTTCTTAAAAGCTGAGGGTGCTGGCCGAGGCTGGAAGGCAGAAAGCCGTCCCTCCTCTTCACCTCTCGGGCAGCGCTGGGCTTTATGCCGGACTGATTCCCAAAGAAGTAGCGCTGATCCTACGGACACGTGAAATACACGTGCGGTACTCATACCATAAGGGAGCTGTGCCTGTAAGACCTTATTTTGGAGCTCGTTAATACTGATGTTTCAGATCCTGGCCTTCTGCTGAGCAGGAAAGGTTGTGTGGGTATACAGTGTGCTTTTAGAGTGAATCAGGTAATGGCACTCTATTTTGGATGACTGCGAAAGCTACTCCTTTGGCTGAAGTAAGGGAGGAGTAGTATTTTGGTGCAAGGGACCTTATTTCAAGTCTTGCTGCAGAACAGTGGGGTGATGAGATAGTCATAGGCAACACATTTCTACCTGGCTCAATTAGTTTGTTGGACTTTTAAGATGAGATTTCTGCGTGTTCTGGAAAACAATTACTGCTTCTAGCCTGGAAGTACCCAAGGTGCTGCCCGCAGACTGTAGGACTTCTACACAAATCTCCAAAAAAATGAGCTCTTATTATTTTCTTCAGTTTTCTGCAAAAGCTGCAAAGGACAAGGCTGATCTGTTAGTTTTATTGTTGATCAATTCACAGAATTGTTTGTTTGCCTATGAAGGATGGGGGGGTTGAGAAGACGTGTTGTTTTCTTTATTGAAAATAAAGCATATTTACATGAGATCCTACGGGCTGCTAACGTTCCTGACTTTGATACTAGATTTCACGCACCTCTGTTTTATTCTGTGATGTATGATTTGAATGGGAACCCCTCCTACACGTAGTGGGAAAATAAAAATTGCTGTGTTAGATCAGTCTGCCTGTCCATTTTATCCAGTATCTAATCTCTGATAGTGGAATTACCAGATGCTTCAGGTTGAAGAAATCATATTAAGGAAAACTATGAAATAATCTGCCCATCTGGTACGTTCTGTCTTCTCTGTTCTCTCTTTTCAATCCTATCTAATATAAACGTGGAGTTCTCATTATCTCTTTAAAAGTGGGTTCCTTTCTGGAATCCTGCTAAGCTCCGATTCAGTGGTATTTTATGGCATTATAGGATTAAGGAGTAGATTTAAGAAAAATAATACCCACAATTGTTAGGACTATTGAATCATTGGGTGAAGATGACATATTCCTGCTGCTGTGAATCTCTCAACAGCTGTTCTCGTGCAGGCAAGCTTCAGGATATTAAAGCGAAGAGGAAGAACGTGAGAAGCAACATCCACAGCTTGATTTTTCCCAGGTTTTGAGGGCTTCCTGGCTAGGAGACCCTGCCCCCCTCCTGCCTGCCATGTGGGTCCTGGGTATGGGTCAGGCAAAGCGTGGAAAAACTTCGGCAGTGCGCATTGGGAGCTTGATCTGCTGATGTGTTTTTGCAGCGTGCACCTGGTAAAAGGTTTGCATTTACCAGCTGGAGCACGTGGCCTGAGGGTAACGCCCTGGGTAGAGCTATGCCATCACCTGGAAACCGGTGCTAAAGATTACAGGGTTACATATCACTGACTTGATTTTAATATTTCCCAGTGGTGTGTTTGGGGGTTGAGTCACAGTCATTACACTCAAGTGTCTCAAGTGGCTGAATCACCCGTTTATTTCTGTAGCTGCCTTCCTTGGGAGCCTGGGAGCAGTTGGGCTGTTTAGCACCATCTGGCTTTAGCTGGTTTTATTACCAGAGATTTCTGTGTAGCAGCTAGTTGAAAGTCGTTCTTTGGGATATAGAATCGTTTAGGTTGGAAAAGACCTTTAAGATCATCAAGTCCAACGGTTAACCTAGTGTAGTGGAAAAGGCAGAGAGTTTTAGAGAAGACTTTGGGTTTTTCTTTCACAACTTGATTAATGAAGTACTAAATCCATTCTTGATTTTATTTTTATTTAAAGTGGTCTGTGCCTGTCCCTTGGGGGCTCTCGGCATATACATACTGGGTGTTAGAACATATTCTGGGGCGGAGGGAGCGAGCTGTAGTGGGAGGCACTGCTCCCTTTGGGGTCTCTCCCAGCCCTGGAGAGAGCCCCTTGCCCTCTGCCACACGGCTGCCTTTGGGTCTCAGCCTCCGCTCAGGTTACTGGGGTGTTGCTGCACCAAAGAGTTGGATTTTGGCTTTATAATCAAAACTGAGTACATCTTTGGAAAGTCATGAATGTGGATGAGACTTAGGTCCATCAGGAACATAGGAAGTTCCGTCTTAACATGAGAAGGAACTTCTTTACCTTGAGGGTAGTGGAGCACTGGCACAGGCTGCCCAGAGAGGTGGTGGAGTCTCCCACTCTGGAGACATTCCAAACCCACCTGGACACTGTCCTGTGCAACCTGTTGTAGGTGACCCTGCTCTGGCGGGGGGGTTGGACTAGATGATCTCCAGAGGTCCCTTCCAACCCTGACCATTCTGTGACCAGT